CCTGTTGATGGATTATACAATTCAGCACTATTGAGATAATTACTACTGCTGTTCGATCCACCAGCAATTAATACTGATCCATCTGCTAATGTGGATGCTGTGTGATAATATCGTGCGACACTCATATTTCCTGTCATTGACCATTCTAGATAAGGCAGAAAAGTGAGAAAAAACATCTTGTTCTTAAAATGACTTCGAATTTTTCAGGTGCATAAGTTGTCTATCTATTGATCACAGATTAAATGATTTCAAGCCCTCAATAAACTTCTCTTTGTTTTCATGGCTAAGATAAAACTCATTATGAAATGATAAATCGAACTAATAAAAAATATGTTATAAACGGCCTCATTGATACTTTTTGAGTTCTATCGACGTCGCGAACTGATGAACCTCAAACACTATCCTACGGTTCAGTTACGATGAATAATGATTGAATTCCAGAATTTAAATGAAACCCATTCTACATAGTTCAACATATTGGAAGCAATATGTAGTTTCACCATGTTGGATGGGTGGGGTATTTATATGTTAGTATGTGACTGTGAGTAAGAGAATATAAGTCTCGTATTTGTCTTATGAGAAAATCAGGACACTAAAGGTTAATTGCTGGTGCCAAAAGGCGTTTTTCTCGAGTTTGAAGTTTGCTTTTTATACTTCTACGATTTTTTTTGAATTACTCAACTCTATACAAATGTGACTTAAAACCTAAACGTAGGTGTTGATAGACATGCCTCATGTCGATATTATGTCAACTAGTACTTCAATGTGTAGAATTATTTCAATCATTCCGAAAGTGAGTTGCTGTAAGTGATTACTAGAATGATCAATGAGTTCTATCACATGAAAATCATTTTGTCAACAATGTTGTCGTCTGATACTGTTGGACAGGACAAGAATATTCAATACTTGAATGAGTTTAGATCAAATCAAGTCATCAAAAATTGGCCCTATTTCGACTTCTGATAGGAAATGTTCCCTAATGCTGTCTATCTAGAAGGCAATCATTCAATAGCTAAAATCAAGACTTTTAGATATCGTCATTTCTAGTAATCATCGTTTGAGCTACTACAAATCATTTAACATAGTACTAACGCTGTATTGCTGCTGTTGTTGATGTTGATGTTGTTGATGATGTTGTGGATGTTGTTGATGTTGTTGATGTTGTTGTGTACGTTGTTGTGGATGTTGATGTCGTAGTCGGTTCTATTTTGAAAATATGATTTTATAGTTAGACTAAACGATTGGATAAGATTTGTTTCTTCTGTAACAATATGTCGACGTTAAATATGAGTTGATTATAATAAAGTAGGAAATGTTTAAGTGATTTCCATTATAATTGTACTTCTACGATATTTACTGTAATTATGTCTCTAGTTGTACTGTTCAGAGATTCTTTCTCAGACAGGACAATTTTCATATGACATATTTAGGTTGTATCCAGAAGTAACAGATATCCACTTTAAGTTTAATTTTTCAGTATGAATTACCGAGATGCAATACTAATCTCAAACTAGTTGGGATCATCATCTTAATCAAAAAATTCTGTAATTTCCTATATGTTTCTTAAGGATCTCTACACTGCGTTGTATTTTTATGAAATTTCGGTGAAAATTTGTTTAATAGATATCGATATTTTGTATAGATTTATGAATATGAAAAGCATAATATCCATAGACGTTTTTAATCGAGTAATTATCTCATTTTTTCTTCATTAGTTTTTTAATATTCGATGGTGTTGATTGTTTAGTCTCAAGTGTCAACGAGATTTCGTTTTACTAACGTATTTTTAAAATAGAATTCTAAAAATAAGATCATTTAATTCAAAAGGAATTATTTTTGAAGAAGACTTTGACTGAATGTTTTTTTACTGTCATTTTGAGACAAACCGATCTGTAATTTACACATAGATGTGTTCAGTTTTTATACTTACCAAGTGGAAATCGTGTTCCACTAATAACATTAATGCTAGTAGCATCGACATCAGCCAACATATTTCCATTTTGGTTCAACATATTATCAAATAATTCACAATTAGAAGTTGAACGATGAAAAGTTGCCGCAGTGCATTGACTGACCTAAACAGGCAAATTGACAATTCCTAATACCTGTTGTAATAATGCTAATGAATGGTAAACAAGTTGCATTGCCACATTGAAATTTAGCATCAGGTATTAAAAACATTTGCTCTGATCGTATATCTTGTCCGACTGTTTGTGTGATAATCATGAATGAAATCCATCAATAAAGTCTTGTTGAAGCCATCACCAACTAGACTGTAAGTTGATGAAATGAATTTAACTGATAGCAAAAGACAGAGTATTTATTGAGCGATAAATTCTATTTTTTCTCTCTCTCCCTTTTTTTCTGTCTCTCGTTTTTCTCTGAATTAACTTCATCACTCTAATGAAAAACTAGCTATGATTTTTTTTGTTTACACAAAAAAAAATTATCCATTCGGATACGATTTTCCTGTGTTTAAATGTTATTTAAGCAGAAATATATTCACATAAAGAGCTTTGGAGTTACCCAAAAGATTAGCAAACATCAAGAACGATCGATCTAACAAAATTAAATTGGAGAAGACAATCATCAGTATTTAGCTGTTATTTAATAAACAGAGTCTGAATATTTCAAATTTATCATACAGATTATAAAATGTGTATTGGTCATCTATTAAACCATTCATATAGAATAACATCAATCTTTAGTATCTAAAAGAAGAATAATGATATGAAATTTTTGATTTTACATGAGAACTGAAGCAGACTGGTCAAAACTCCTCCAAAATTAAACATGCTCAACTTAGATTTGTCTAGTATCCTGATTGATAAAAGAATATCATGATTTGTAATTCAATCGATAATCGCATTTTTCTTCACTAATGAGAAAATTATTTAAACAGTTAAGATTGATTTCAATGTACAGTAGTTCGAATGAAGAATAAAACATCTTATTTATCACATACACTAAAACAAACAGTTTTTTAATATTCTAAAGTAAGTCAAATAATTGTTTATCATAAAAACATATTTCAGTGTACTTTTTTCTCGGTAAGAAATAGTCGTCCGATAAATGTTTGCTTTAGTTTTCGTTCTTTTTCTCTCATTTGTATATTGCTATGATGTATTATGTACGGAAAAGAAAATGTTAGTTGCAAAGTTTTTTGTATTTTTCTTCAAACAAAAAAAAAAAACGACGGAAATAGAGAGCTTGTGGAAACACGTAGGTTAGTTATAATCACAATTATACAAAGTGCGTTGCTCCATAGACAAAGTACATCTGATTAAAAAACAACAGGAACCAATGCAAACGTTCTGTGACCAGACAAAAACATCTACATGATTACATTAGATAAACTAACAAACTAAACTAATGACGTCTTTTCTTTCTTCTAATATTTTGTTGAAGAAAAATAATTTTTCAAAATTTGAATATATTATGCACGGCTTCCATACACATAATTATTTACAACATCTAAAGATCGATACTATTTCTTTCCGATTTTAATGATATTGAATTGTTTTTAGCGAAGATTATGTAGAACGCGAATATAGTAATTTTAATATATATTGACAATATACTATTCATCCTTGTCTTTTATATCAATTAACATTTACAATTGTTTATTTATCTCCTTAGTTCAAAAGAGTATTGTGATTATATTTGTTGTTATTATGATAGAGAAAAACAGATCAAGAATGCATGGTTCATAGTATCGAATGGTGCTACTCAAAAGAATTCTCTGATGAAGAATAAAATAAGTCAGTGTATGAAAATATTAATATCTTGAGATATTGAACTATTTTCAATAAAATATAATTTTATGAGGTTTTTGTTAACAATAAAGAATATCAATTAACAGACGTTAGAACTTTACAAAACAAAACGCAACCACAATCATGAACATCATAATCCATCCTTTCGAATTATTCAAAATCTTAAGATATTCATATTTTCATACATATTATGAGTAGCTGCCTAATTCGACTTCGGATATAAATGGAAAAATGCTCGAAATTCAGTATTCTCACAACTGAAAAAAAATCTTCTAAACCAAAATTTATAGTTAGAGTTGGATATTACCTATGTTGGCTTGAGAAAAAGTAAAAGAAAAAGTTTACTTAATCTATAATTTATAATTATATTACGAAGGCACGTACGTTGGCTTAGAAAAAAAAGGAAAAACAAAACGTTTACTTAAATTATAATTTATAATTGTAATACGAAGGCGCTTATGTTAGTTTAGGAAAAAAAGCAAAAGAAAAAGTTTACCTAGACTATATAATTTATAATTAGAAAACGAAGACGCCTATATTAGTTTAGGAAAAAAACGGAAAACAAAAAGTTTATCTAAATTATAATTTACAAATCAAATACGAAGGCACCTATGTTAGTTTATATTAAACTATTTCAAATTTAAACATTAGATACGATGATTCCAGTATTATTAAATTCTATTTTTGATATTGTAATCATTCGGAAAGTTTTAATACAAAATTGAGTGAAGTTAAACAATTTTATACAATTCCATATTCAAGAATTAAATATAAATTAACTTCAATTATACTTGAATATGAATATTTAGTAGTATATTTTAGAAATATTGAATGATTAAGGTTGATATGATGTGTTGGTGGATTACTAACATAAAAAAAATTTAATTTCTTCATAAAATTGTTAAATTTATTCACGGAATTTTCAATTAATAATGCATGAAAAAACGATCTATCATTCTGTCAAATATCGAAAGATTTAAATATCACTATATTTAAAGAATTAGTAAATCTGTGTATTTGAATTTTAGAATATGAAACATTTGACTTTGATACTGAAAATGACGAATAAAAATAAAATAATCTAATTTTAGTTTAGTTTTATAATTAAATAATTAAATAATTAAAAAAATACTCTCGTTCTTTTAGAAACTAATTAACATATACAAATAAAAATATTTTAAAGTATGAATATTCTTCATCTACTGATGATTAAATATGGAATACAGATATGAATCTAATGTGCTTGAGATCTAGCAATAGAAAATTCGATGTCTAAGATCCTGAATTACTAATCATACTTACTAACGAGTATATAAAAAAAATTATTATTCTGACTTTTAAATATAATATTAATTGATATATTATCTTTGATTTGACATGCAGTTAAACAAACAATTGATTAATTATTCACTAAATTGTCTTTTAATAAAATCAATGCAATTTTGTTGAAATATACTTTATCTATAACTTTACAGTCAGTTTTTATCGTCCTTTGATTAGCACTATAATAACTATTGAATATCTCATATATCGATATACTTCATGATAAAAAAATTATTCGATCATGTATGACACCTATCGAAAATGATCCTCGCGTATTATCGAGTGAATTCAAATATAGACTATTCATATGCCACATTCGAGTTTGATCTAGGCCATTTTTTATCTATTTACAACGTTACATAGTTAACACTTTTGCTTTTCTATTCAAATCGTCTTTTCATATATACAATAAAAAAACAGTCATGACGATAAAAATGAAACTTGAATTTTTACCAAATGAAATATTATTTCAATGTTTTCAATATCTAAATGTACCAGATGTATTTTATTCATTTGATCAATTAAATCTTCGTTTTTCTAACCTTATTCGAGATACTTCATTATATTTAAATTTTTCTCAAATGAAAAAATCTTTATTCAATCATTTTTGTCAAATCATTCTATTAAATCCTGAAATAAAACAAAAAATTATCTATTTACAATTATCAAATGATGGAACAAATGGTCAAATTGAACATTTTCTTTCATTATTTTCATTAAATACATTTCTTAATCTTCGATCATTATCATTAATTGATTTAAAGGAAAATAATATTAAACAATTATTATCAATATTACCATTTTTATCTAATCTATATTCGTTTTCTTTTACTGGTACAAATATTGAAACATTAAAAATAATACCCTCAATATCAAAATCAAAATTACGAATATTAACAGTACCTCGTTTGGATTTTGAATCAACATCTATTAATCAAACAATAGGAATAACATCATTGACCATAACTGAACCTAAGATCGATAATTTTCAGTTATTTAAATTATTTGAATATGCACCAATGTTAAACTATTTAAATATTCAAACATTAGTAAATTCTGAGATTAAATACAAGGAATTGAAAAAAAATGCTAATTATTTAAAAGAATTTATTATAAATGATTGTGAAGTTATATTTGAACATCTTATATTATTATTAAAATATACACCAAATTTAAAAATATTTTCAATATTTATTATGAGTGATATCTATATGTCTGATGGTATTCATTGGCAAAAACTTATTGAATCTTCATTAAAATATTTGACTATTTTCAAATTCTATTTTCAAGAGAAGAAATCTGAAGATCTAACGGAAAAATTGAACAAATTTCAACAATTTCAAAATGATTTTTGGCATAAACAACATCAATGGTATACTAATTTAGAAATTTATACTCGTACTTCAACAATTTATACAATTCCATATGAAAAAGATAATTATGAATTAACATGTATTACGAATAAACATGGTTATCTATGGAAGAAAAATTCGAATGTATTTGATAATGTTAAAACATTAACTTTAACACCAAGACTAGTTGCAACGAATTGGAAATGTTATTTCAAAAATGTTGAATCATTAATATTAAAACGTCATTCAGATGAAAGCTATGATAACGATAAAGATAAAACAAAAATAATATCAACAGAAATCAAATTATTTCGTACAATTATTAATGTATCAAATATCAAACATTTAACAATTGATGGACAATTTTATTTAACTTCATCATTATTGCTAGATTTATTAAAAGAATTACCGAATGTTTCATCACTAAAAATCGATGAAGAACAGTTGATGAAGATTTTCGATACTATTGAATTACGTAAATATTTAAATAAAAATATTAAAAAATTAGAGATTTTTTCTCGTACATGTTCCGATGAAAGAATATTTTTAAAAAAAATTAATATATTATTTTCTCAAGTATTTCCAAATATCGAACAGTTTACATGTGATTATATGAAACAGGTTGATGATTTATTAGTAATATTAAAAGAATGTTCAAAATTATCAATAATAAAGTGTAAAGCGATTAGTAAATCTGTAAATTCATGGATCCAAATTAATGCGTCAAAATTAGATGTGTATCTTGATTTTAAAGAAGTTGATGATGAAACTGATGACGATGAATATGACTATGACGATGATGAAGATGAATCTGATTATGATGATGATGATGATGATGATGAAGATGAATCTGACTATGACGATGAAGATGATTATGACTATGATGAAGAACAAAAACGACGAAGTTTATTAAAAGGAGATTTAATCTGATTTTTTTATTAATAAATTGATAAAGAAATATTATCTCTTTTATAATACTAAAAAAAATATTCAATTGAATTATCACTCACAATAATATTGTAGATACTATTTGTTTGATTTTCTCATAGTTTCTATCAACAAAATTCAATATAGAAATTGATACATTGTATAATAACAGAAGCAAATGGAGAATTCGATAGTTTTAGCAATATTCTTGTTGCAGATAAACAAAATCTTGAATTCTATTCATCATTTATTTATATTCACATTCTAAATCAACATCTTCTAAAGACACTCGTAAAATAAATAATCATCTTTGATTTATTCTTTTCCTATGTTCATAAGTTCCCATGCAAAAAAAACACGGAAAAAATCCGATTTTTATCGATTATTTCATTGCCAACCAATTATTCTGTTGTAATTGATTTTAATCTAATATATTAGCAGTTTAGCTTACACGAGTAACGATGAATTGATGACATTTTTCCAAGTGTGTCGAAGGTCGACTGAGTGTTAGAACTACCATCTGTTAACGCGAGAAGTCCGAAAAAATCATTGGAAGTCTGACTTTCTAATTGCGCCTGAAGAAAAACACGTTTCATAACCATCGTGATTAAAATCCATCACAATTTTTTTCAGATACGATTTTAATCAGTTTTTTTTCTGGTTATAAATCGATTTAAAATCGTCCCATTTTAATCGAGTTTTAATCACAAAAATATCGAATAAAATTGGATTTTTTGTGATTTTTTCTCTATACAACAAAAAATAATGAAACCATCTTAAACAGCATTTACAACAAATAATCATCTCTCTTTTTCAATATTTGCAATTCTTATAATACTTTACACAATTAGAAGAATAAACTCATAGCAGATGAATGTTCATCGTTAGAAGATCATTTCTCGTTCTTTTTTTTGAAATAAATTCTTATCTCATCAATTATAACTGAACCCAATGAACAATTGCTTCTTTTAGACTAGAATTTTGCTGTTTCCAGATATTAAGATAAAGAATTATTCTTTATTTTTCTATAATAATAAGTCTAAAAATCAACAATAAACAAACTACTTTTCTAGAAACTTCAATTACTAACATTAGCTAAATTAATGTCGTGTCTAATCATTTTATTCAATATATTTTTTACTTCGGGCGAGAAAAATGGTTTTCAAAAAATAACAGTTACATGAAAAATGAGGACTTACAGTAATTAAAAGAGTATTAAAAATCATAACCGAATCTCTTATTTACCTTCGAAGAGTTGTGCGTAATGAATGAATTCCTATAGAGAAATTACCAAACAAGCATGAATCTATTCAAGTGATGTTTTATTTTACTTTTGTCAATAAAACAATTTTATATAATTGATCAGGTACTTTATATATCGAATGAAAAAACGTCATGATTTTAGTTATTATGGAAGAACAGAAGCGAAGAGTCTTTAACGAAATGAAAATGACAGGCATAGAAAATAAATATTTGAATAAATTTGAGTGAATAAACAAAAAAAAAAGAAATGTATTTCTAATTTCAAGAACACAAACAAGTGTTGAGGGAAACAGTTTTATGCTCTTTCAACTAAAAGAGAAATGTCGGAAGTAATGGGATAAAAAGAGCAAAGAAAAATCATTCGTCACTGTCTACTTTGTTTTTTCGTCGATCATATAAAAGATGATGACACCTGTCCTTGCCTTATTTCTGATCATGTCTCTTTCATCTGTTGAAGGTTTGTTAGATTATCTTTTTCATTCCACTCTATCGCAGTATAAATGAATTCTATAGGACAAAATACACAACTACCTAATTATTCTTGTAGTGAAAATAATGTTTCGATTGAGTTTACATTATCTTTATCATCTCATTCAGCATGGAATTCAACATCATATTGTTCTTTACAACAGTGTAATGTAGACTCAAACAATAATAATAGTTGTCGTTCATCATCAACACCTTGTTTTGATTATCGAACAATAAATAATATTAGTTATTGTGCACCAGGTATTTTATGTTCAATATTAGAAAGATGTGATAATATTACACAAACATGTTCATCAAATAATTCAATGTGCGTTGTTAATTCATGTTGTTCATCACAACCAGTATGTTTACCATTGTTAGCAGCACAAATGTGTGAAAGAGGTACCAATACATTATTTACATTTGAGACTCCATTAAAATCAATTCGACCAATATATTTTAGTCATAGTTGTAGATAAAATATTATTCAGTTATGTGATACCTCTATCGAGTGATACTTTTGCTATAGTGGAAACAAATGTAATAGATAGAATAATACAAGTTTGTGATATCCATTGATAGTTATCAAGAGAAATGTAAGAGGGATGAACAATTGAAGCATGTTGAAGTGTTCAGTTTAGTTAGTGACACATTAATAAAAGTTCATATATGATTTAGTTAGCACGATAAGGAATTATAGTTTTATGATATTTCAATATTGTTTATTTTTTTGTGTTTAAGTTGAGATATTTTGTCCATAGAACAAACTTTTGTGTTTACATTTGTTGCATTGAATAACAAACCAACATGAATGAATAGATTGAAGTACACAAATCGTTATGATAGTTCGTTTCAACTCAAATTTAGATTTTTCTTGATTTCATATTCTTATTTATTCCTCTTTTCTATTGCTGTTATTACTCTAATAATATTAATTCATACTGATGTTAGGTGTAGTTTAAGAGACATTGTTGACCATCAATATTAAACTTATTGTAAAATAGATGAACCAGCTGAGATGTAATTTAGTAACAGAATACATATGAAGGTAATTCAGTTTTGATAGAGAACCTAACTTTCATACTCTGTAATCAGAAGTTATCTTATCTATTTTGTTTTGATCGATGAGATGATTAAGTAAACTACAAATCAGATATTAAATACTATCTTTATCTTTAGACCAATCTTTCATATCGTATCTAAACTATTTGTATAGGTTTGTTCTTTCTATGATAGTGTTCATTACATAAGAAGATGTAAATAGTGAATTGATGAAAAATTGTTGCTGTATAATTAAATTTAAGAAAAGCATATGATTACATATGAAATATCACAGAGAGTAGAGTCAGAAGAAACTAAATAGGTGAACTTGTGTAAATTAATGGAAAACTAACAATGCTTCCATAGTTAATTATCAAAAAATTCTAGGTTAATTACTCATTTTCTCATTAGCTCATGTTTTATGTTAGTTCGCATGGTGAATGCTATATAGGTCCTTTCCTTTCGTACCTATATATTGATCATAGTAAAGAGAAATGTTATGAATAATTGACTATTTTGATTGTGATATTCAGAGAACTATGAAAGAGTTGATACAAAGTTCATACTTTTCATTCTATTGAATATCTTTCGAGCATAGCTTGTAAAATTTGTAGAGACTCGAAAAACACATCAGTCAGTATAATTATGCCAGTGGTCAGTTTGAGACAGACATCTTTTATATATTTGATTGGGATAACAGAGAAAATAGAGAATATGGAACACTGAAGATGTGATAATGATATGTGAAGAGATTTTGTGCAAAAAATTTGACCACTATTCTCAGCCTACATACGTTTGAGGTGATATAAACCAGACATATCGGAGACTGTAATTTTTAGAATAATGAATGCTGATTGTTTGATTATCTAATGTTGTATAGTCTAAATATATAAAAATGTAACTTCTAGGATGGCTTTACACTGGCAATATGACTGATGCTCGATATAGCCACACAGCATCTATATTATCAAATGGAAAAGTATTAGTTACTGGTGGATACAATGGTGGTGTTTTAAATAGTGCTGAATTGTATGATCCATCAATAGGAACTTGGACAATTACTGGTACCATGAATAATATACGATATGATCACACAGCATCTGTATTATCAAATGGAAAAGTATTAGTTACTGGTGGATACAATGGTGGTGTTTTAAATAATACTGAACTGTATGATCCATCAACAGGTATTTGGGCAACTACTGGTAACATGAATAATGCACGACAAGATCACACAGCATCTGTATTATCAAATGGAGAAGTATTAGTTACTGGTGGATGGAATGGTGCTAGTACTTTGAATAATGCTGAACTGTACGATCCATCAACAGGTATTTGGACAACTACTGGTAACATGAATATTGTACGATATTCTCATGCAGCATCTGTATTATCAAATGGGAAAGTGTTAGTTACTGGTGGATACAATGTTGGTGCTTTAAATAGTGTTGAGCTGTATGATCCATCAACAGGTATTTGGACAACTACTAGTAACATGAATAATGTGCGACGATTGCATACAGCATCTGTGTTATCAAATGGAAAAGTGTTAGTTACTGGTGGATACAATATTAGTGCTTTAATTAGTGCTGAACTGTATGATCCATCATCAGGTATTTGGACAGCTATTGGTAACATGATTACTGCTCGATTTTTGCACACAGCATCTGTACTATCAAATGGAAAAGTATTAGTTACTGGTGGATCGAATGGTTTTAGTGATTTATATAGTGCTGAATTGTATGATCCGTCAACAGGTACTTGGACAACAACTAGTAACATGAATGATGCACGATATTTGCACACAGCATCTGTGTTATCAAATGGAAAAGTATTAGTTACAGGTGGATCTGGTAATACCGGTTATTTAAATAGTGCAGAATTATATTAATTATTTCAAACATATTAACTTTTACTTATCTTATTCTTTTTCTTGCAAGTAGTTGAAACTCTAAAAAATACTTTAGTTAGAAGAATTCTTATTTTACGACGCCCTCGAACTGTTTTCTCCCATATTTTAACTGAATTACCGCATACTTTAATATTCAATCCCAAACAAAAATAAATATCTTTGTCTTTCTACTCTTATATATTAGTTTATTACGATTAACAAAACTTACAACTGATACGATAAGTTTGATTGGTCCTTTCAAATGTTCTCTTCGTATTAAAGTGTAGTTGCTCATGATATTCGATTGTTTTGACAATATTCATCAGATTTAGTATAGATCATTATTGAAACATCTCAATTACAGAAGGACTTTGCAGTAAGTTCAAGAATGACATAGATGAATATATCTGTAAATAACAACCCTAAAAGATGATCTAAAGGATAATATATACTTATGTCAGATGTACGACATAATGAAAATGATAATATTAACATTTATGAGTTATGCAAAATACTGACATCTAACTTTTCTAATTTTTACAGTAGTATATATTTTAACGACAGAGAATAAACAATACTAAGATTTCTATATAATTTTTCTTTGTGAGTCTTAAATTAATTGATTCAAGCCATTCCAAAAAAATCAAATTGATCAATATAGAATATCTATCGAGAAGTTCTCTTAAAATATCAAGGTAAAACTATACACAGATCTACTTTTTCTTGTTCATATTAATTTATTCTACAAAGTATGAAGTTGTTCAACTTTGACTTTGAGATCATAATCTGGATCTTTCAGTTATAATATCCTATGGATTCATGTTCATATTCATCAAGATATTTCTCTTGATGTTATCACAGCTATTATTTATAACGTATTGATATAATTTTTTTGAAAGATATCTTTTATATTCTATTGTTTGCGAATAGTTCATCTCATTTCATTTTCAAGTAGTTTAGAGAAAGAAATAATAGTTTTTTAGTAGATTTACTAAAATATTTGTTTTATAATTTATATTCTACTTTATCATAATAAGCCAGTTAATGGAGTATCAGCATAGTTCATAAATGTATTTATACATTTATGAACTATTATCTCATTTTATTCAGACTTAATATATTCGTAAAATAAATCAATTTATTAATTAAATTAAGACATTCATGATCATATATATATATATATAAAGAATTTTCTTTTTAACTAAACAGCGTTTCTTAAGTATCAATTTCATTTTTTTAACTTCACGATCTTCGAAAATTAGTTCTCAAACTATTATTTAAGAGAAACTATATGTATTTCATCGTATACATTCTTCTTATTCTCACTATTGACATCTGAATAAATAAAATTTTAATGTGTTTTCTGCTAGATGTTGAAGAAGAGTAACATTTTGTATGCATGCTACAAAGAAAGTAACATTCGAAGATTGATGTGAAAAATATTGGTAACATTACTTTCTTTCAGTATCTGACACAAGAAATAAAAAGGTTTGTCAAGCACACTTCACTCCTTGTAAAATGCATTTTTTAATGTGTCAATTTCCTCATCAATGATTCTAAACTTATTTAAGACTTAGACGCAATTCATAACACTCAAAGTTTTCAGCATTTATTTTTAACAATGTACTATTTTCGTAGTATTTTATTAATATCTTCTTTGGTTTTGATGATGTAAAACTTGAATATTTTTCTATAGATAAATAATCTGAAAAATCATTTAATTAAGAGTATGATGAAAATCTTACATTAAAAGAAGTTTTCAATTTTTCAACTTAATTTATGTTTGATTACCATCTAGAAACTAATTCAATGTAGCTTACGAATGATCATAGTTACGCAGTTTATTTTATACTGAAGTTTTGATTTTAAATAGAAAAAGACGTTTTTTTTTAAATTATTTTATTAAATTGAATTGAATAAAAAATTTCTTATTTATTTCAATCTTTAATACACATTTTTCACATTCACTCACTATTGTTTAATCAAACACATTTTACATATTTCTAATCAACAAACATCTACTAGTTGAGGGTAGTATGGTATGTATACATGACGATTTTCTTTCTGTCCTTCTTCTTTTAGTTTATTATTAAAATATTTTGCCATCATCGGTTACTAATATAAACAAGGACACAACAACACGTTCTCCTCGATGACGTAGCAATCATGACAACAGTTGGAAGAAAGTAAAATAACATCAAGTATGTATAGTTCTTTTTATTCGTCTCCATTCTTTCTTATTATGCGTTTCTATGACTTTACAGTTGTGTAAGAATGTGTGCGTATAATACACAAAACAAAAATATTCTTATTCCATTGTTTGACTTGACAACATTTCTCAGACAGTATCACAACTCCATCAGTTTATCATGCATTAAAATTTATTTACTACAAGTATTAATAATTGACGTACTATAGTGACATTGACTTCATCCTATATCAGCAAGTTTCTATCGAAAATAAAGGGATCATATATTTTTCTTTCTCAACTATTCGAATAGCGTTACTGTTCTTCGTTATAACGACGTAAAAGTTAGTTTTATTATTTCCTATAAATCTGATGTAGTTTATAATATTTCGATGATTTTAATAACAAAATATCGAGTAAAATCACATATTTTCATTCCATATATATATTTTAAAAGTGAGAGGCAAAGCATTGCAAATTTTTTTCTTTGGTATTATATTGTTGACAATTGTATTTTATTTCGTTATAGATAAAATGACCTCAAGTTCTTCAAAAACACGACAAACGAATCATGTTCTTACATCTTCTCGAGATCGTCCTTCTTTAATTAGTCCACCAATTCAATCTAATAATTCTGGTGCTACCTGTTCTCAATGTCATCAAGTTATAAGATCAAATAAAAGTAGTGGTGGTGCTTTTGAAAGTACTTTACAACGAGTATTTCCAGGTGCTTATGGGTTAGAAGATTTTGTTTTTCAAACAAAGCAAACTTTAGTTCCAGAAGGCTTCTATCCTCATGTCAATACTTTGGTTTGTGTTGGTTTATGTCGTGACGAAATTACAAGTCCTCTTGAAGAAGCAATTGAAAATATGTGGGGACAAGGATTCATTTGTGGTTCTCTTGCTGGTATGTTATTTTGCGGTAAAACTGGTTTCGCTGCTGCACATCATCATGCACCGGATAATGGTCGTTTTATTTATTATTGTTTTACTCATATTGCTATTGATCATGAAGGATCAATAGGTTCTGTTTATAGAACACGTAGTGGTATGCATGAAAAAAACAACAGCATGTGGAGCTCTTGCTGCTTTTACAGCCGAAATT